TATCTAAGGGTTGTAAGCTCATCGGACGCCATGTTTCAGCGATTTCAGCTTCCTAGCTTTCGTAGTCCTGAATTTCAATTATCATGATAAGCATGCAGACATTCGAAATCATAAGCACCGGCACATTTCACTTTATCAGCTTGTGTCTATGGCCAATTTTCTAGTTGTCCCTGACTTGACATCTTAAAACGTTACAACAGTGTATCCACGGCTCGAAGGTGCATTCACAGCAAATTTTTCCCAAACCTAATCATTCCCCTGTCTTCATCTATAATTGTACGCACATTCGGGATGCATTCTTTACAAGAAACTATGAAAAAACTACCTCAAAGAGCCGTAAGCGCTCCTTTTCTTCTTGCAGATACTTCTGTTTGGCAGAATCATCAATAACGCCTGTTTGAGTGGATGAAAATAATGGTGTAGACTGTGCCATTGCCACAGTGTATTGCTGCTACAAAAAAAAAACCGAGCTGTGGAGCTTCTCAGTTAGTTTATAAGTGGTGAAGCATTATACATTTGGCAGCCGCTTAACATATACTGTAATAAATGACGGCAAAATGAGCTAACATGATGGATGTTCGGAGGAGCTTTGCCGCCTTCCAGATGGATTAAATGCGCTTCCAGTGCTTCAAGCAAAGAAGCTGGTGCCCGTGTCAAATCTGGGATTTCCGTCCGGTCAATTCCAACTGACTCGGCTACTTTCAAAAAGCTTGCAACTTTATCCAACCTTAGCTGAAAAGATGCAAAGAACTTACTCTCTAAAAATTTTGCTTTTAGCAAAATTACATGCTCTTCGTGTTCTTGACGCACATGCTGATGTGGACGGCATTGAAAATAAGCGCATTAGCTATGCAATTTTTTTAACTCTACACGCCAATATTTCCTCTCTTGAATGTTTCGTTTCTTGTTTAATTATTTATTTTAGGTAAACATTCGCCATTTTATGTCCCGTTTCGTGAACAAACATGAAACATTTGCCATGGTTTTGTATTTCAGAAGATAGCCCCTAGAACAGCAATGACAAAAATGAGTAGGGATGTGAGGGCCGTAATATCGAAAAAAAAGGTATAATAAATGTAAGCAATAACATATCAAAAGTGGGATAAAACTCTTTAAAGATAATTTGTTAGGAGCAACTAAGTGCAATGGGAGAAAGGATAATCTGCTGGAACGCGCGATAATTTGATGGAAAAAAGATGATCTAATTAGCTTCCAAAGTAATTATGGGAATTTACGCGAAATAATAAAACAAACGAGGAATGATTTGTATGCGTCGAGAGCCTCGCGACACTGCTTTTTGTGCATATCGAAATATTTCTCCAGCAAATTGATGATACCGTCGTTGTAACAAGCAAACAGACGAATGAGATCGCGAAACAGAAGGATGAAAGAGCAATTGATCACGCCGTTATTCAATTCAGCCGATGTCACCTGCAATTACGCTGATTTCCCATGTCATTTCAGTCCCAGAAGGTAGATTTCCGGAACTATCAAGGCAACCAAGAAAACTGGGGAAAATTAAGTGATGATTTGACAACAGTGCTGTTACTAAAAGCCATAAAAAGTTGCACGTTCCCAGTTGATTAGTCGACTCGTAGCTGCACATTTCCAGTTATCCAGTTAATATCCACGCCTGATCATTGATGCAATTGTGGAGGTAATTCTTATAAAATGCATCTTCAACTTTTGCTTTAACCTTTTTATTTTATCTCAACTTTCTTTTTCCTTTTTTGGCACACTGCATGCTACTTTCGCTGCAACCGTCATACTGACGAGGTCCAGTTGCAGCACTTAACAGGAATGTATGAGACTTGATGGACCGAAACATTCCCACTCAGATTTTAATTTTAACTTATTCATATTTCCCTTTTTATTTCCTTATATCTTACATAAACACATACCAACTAAAGTTAAAATTAAAATCAATGTGTGCACACTGTATTTTAGGGAACCGCTCGATGACTGTTCACTTTTCGTTTCAGAAATCATAACAGACAAAAAAAGTACTTGGAATTCGAGAAGAGCGTCAATTTGATTTTGCAAAATCGGCAACGTTTTCAGTAACTGAAAAAAAGGAAAAAATATGATCTGCAACAAGTTTAAAAAAAAAAACATTAATAAACTAAAATCAAGATTATTCAAAACTGTCCGGAAAATGGACGTGGGGACCGATGTTATGATGTTACCCATGAGACGCCCTCAAACAATGAATTCAGCCATTTTTGCTCATCCATCCCAAGCTGTATACCTCCCAGCAGTATTCACCGTTTGTTCGAAGCAAATCAGTCACTTCTTCGAAGGTAGCACGAAAATAAAGGGAATGAAGAGATTATAAAGAAAAGAAACTTTTGGTGACTGTGAGAAGTGCAGTGAAGTTTGGGGTTTAAAGGAAAATCCCCGTGAAAAGTATCTAGCTACATGTCCCGCCATCGGACTGACTAAATCCCCGTCATTTTGGATGTAGTTTTCCAATGCATATACAGCAACCACCTTGTCCGTATTCATTGTTCGCAGAAGGCCATCCTCACGCCCTCGTTTCACTTTGCAAAAATCAAAAGCACATAGCCTGTATGTGTAAATTTTCTCGCTTATATATTTGCCATAGCGACGTACATGTTGCGACATGTC